CCTGCAGCTGGTGCTCCTGGACGCGGGCATCGTGACGCAGCTCAGCCGAGCGGATCAGCGCAACTTCAGAGACGTGTTCACCGCTGTCGTTCTCAAGCAGGTGAAGGACACGTGTGGATTGTTTGCGGTCCGTTTTCTTAATTTCCCGTACCCATGTTCACCCAAAAATGAAAATTAAGTCATTAATTACTCACCCCCATGCTGTACCAACCCCGTAAGACCTTCGTTCGGATTAGAAAAGTCTTGTGGTGTATTCCAGACTAAATGTTGACCTCATGACCTTTGTGTTGCCAGGGCGAGCGAGTTGCAGAGTTAATCCTTCATCACGCCCGCGCCAACGAGTGCCAGGATGTGACGCGTTTCAAGAAGGAAATGGCCCAACTAGTGGATCATGCACTCAGTGACACACTCTCCCTGGGGAAGGTGCGGAGTTACACACACCTCCATCACTTCCATAACTCACGAGAGATCGAAGTTGGCAAAAGTTTGGAATAATTATGCTATTTTTAATGTTTATGCTTGCTTATTGGATTAAAAAATACAGCACAAACTGTGAACTATTATTACAATTTTAATTATTACAATAACACTGCATTATATCCATCTAGACGTGTGTATCGGCCTCATTTCGACTGACCACTGTGTATAATCTCTGCTGAGAGATTTCTGTATTGCTGAGATTAAAATGTTGCTTTACATGCCGAGTGTGTGTTGTTTTCTAGATTCAGGTGTCCGACCTGCTGTCGCGAGTCTTTGGTTTACTGATCCGTCACAAGGTGAGAGCCGCTGCTTTACATGATGTTAAATTACTCCAAACTTAAACTGGTGCATCATTTGGTATTAGCAGAAGTTAGCAGATGCTTAATGTAACATCTAGAGCCCGACCGATAAAGGATTTTGAAGGCCGATACCGATACAAATATTTTTGGGTTTTAAAATCCGATATTACAATATTTTATTTATTTATTTATATTTTATAAATATTTATAAAATATTTTTTATATTTAAAATAATATTTTAATATTATTTTAGCCGATATTTTATTTATTTATTTATTTTTTTAAACTGGACATTATAGTCACAAATGTTCTTTTAATTGTTATTCAAGCAATGTATGTATCGTGACCAACTCAACGAGTGTTGCCAACAGGAACGGTGTAGAGTGCCCTCTGGTGGACAAACTATACAACTCCAACACTCGTGACATGGTTCAAGCGTGTTTCGTCCGTTTTTATTTTATTTTTGAAATATTCAATTATCGGCCGTTATAACTGCCGATACCGATAGTTTGGAAAATGCCTAATATCGGCCGATAATATCAATCTGGCTCTAGTAACATCTATAGTCTTAGTAAATTATTCTAAAAAACGAATTACTAGCTACTAATTACATCTTCAACAGTGTAATTAGATTACTGTACTATTTTAAAAATGATTGCATTACTAATTACTGTCTAAATCTGCTATCAAAAATAGCTGTAATGCGACTCTACACTCTTGCCTCATAGTATTCATATATTCGGTTCTGTGAATATGCAAATGAGCCCCGCCTCCACTCAATCATTCACTCAGAGATCCACTGGTTGATGATCACACGTTAATCTGATTGGTTGAAGGTCGTTTGTGACGTCAGAAACACCAGCGATTTCACACACCGTCTTCTGTTCACTGCAGTTTTAAGGAGGAAATACTCAGCAATGCTGTCCACTTATGAATTTACACATGCACAGCACATTAAAAACACCACATAGACATATAAACAACATTAAAACCTTGATTTTCACTTAAGTGAGGTGTGTTTTGCTCTGCTCATGGCAGGTGAAGTTGGAGAGTAATTTCGCATCGATGGTGTTTGCCATCATGGTCCTGGAGGGTTTGGGCAGATCGCTGGACCCCAACCTAGACATCCTGGAGATCGCCAAACCCCTCCTGCTGAAAAACTGCACCTCGCTCCTCTGACACGCGTCCATCACACTGCCAACATTTACCTCAAAAATGAGTGTCAATCAGGGAATTTAACCTCACTGAGAGAGGAAACCGTACATATATGGGATCAATTTACAAGAGTTCGGTCCATCTACAGGGTTCCCGGATCAATAATATAAAGTAGACTGTGAAGCTGAGACTGGATTGTACTGACAGGGCCAAATTCAATCTTCATATGTGAACTAAATCCTACAGTCCTGAAGTTTACAGACTTTAAGATGCTAAATTCAATGTAAGGTTCAATTCAATTACAAGGTTATTTATAACCTTTTATGTATGAAAAACAATAATATATATATATACATTTCCACCTGTTGGGCTGCTTTCACTTATGTTTGAGTGCTTTTAGACCCAAACCCTGAAAAAGTACATATACTATTGTGTAGCAGAAGTCTGTTGTATTAGATTATAGACTTAGTGCTTACAATCTATGCAAATGTAAAGGATCCAGATTTTATCCATAGACAATGTCCTTTTGTTTGTTTGTGTTCAGTTAACATAAAAATGGTTAAATATATAAAAAGTTGGCCTGTGCCCATTAAATGTGTCTGAAACAAACTTGTCAATCAAACTTTGTGATTTTTACCTGATCCCTGAGGATGAGTTTATCAATTGTGTTAATCTCTAATCTTTCCTTCTTTCCCCGTCCACATGACTGTGTTTTGTTATTTACCCTCTGAGAAATGGATGAAAATAACTACTTTGTGTATTTTGCACACTTTTGCCTGAATTAAACGGAATTAAATGAATAATCTATACTTTGACAGAGACCTTTTGTTTCAATTTGTCTTTTTTATGATGTATGCACAGCGTATACGTGCTAACCCTATGTATGGTAAATGTTTATATATGTCATATCACGTGGTCACGGACGTCGCGGTGTTGCCATAGAGATAGAAGCGTCCGCCGGAAGTGAGGAGGAAAGGAGCGTGATGGCGGACGACGCGATGAAAACGGTGAGAAATGATGGATATTTTAGTTAAATTGCTCAATCTATTGCATTAAATACCTTAAATATGAACAAAGATCTTCTTTATGGTGGTCTATGGTAGCCTATAACCGCTATTCTTATAAGCGTTATTTAACAGTTACCTTCTCGTCAGATTGATTAACTTTATCTCCGAAGAGAAAACAATCGGAAAGATTGACATTTTAAATAACAAAAGTTGCCTGTATTTTATTAATATTTCATTGATTCTTGAAAAGCAAAGCCTGTCAATACAGACTTGCCTTAAAATCAAAATAAGCTTATATTAAAAGAAATAGTCTAATTTATTGCGTTGTTTGCCTTGACAAACTGTCATTAAGTTACTCTAATGCAAATAAACTGATGTAATTGTAAATAAGTTATATAGTTTATTGGTTACACTGTCTTTTCATTTTCTAAAAATATTACGCCAAAACAAAAAAAAAAAAAAAAAAAAATGAAAAAAAAATTAAATGCGTAATATTTGTCAGCAGTCAAAGTGCACAACAATAAGACGAAATAAAATGTACACAAATTAATTCCTGCACACATGATTTGACTGAGTGTGTTGACATATTGGTAACACTTTATTTTACAGTCACACATGTAGTGACTATAATAATAACTCTAAATTAAGTAAAAATAACCCTAAACCAAACAAACCCCAGCCTTATAGTAAGTACACTACAGTTTATTCTACTCAGTGCTTAAATGTATAATTGCACTGTAACAAAGACACCTTAAAATAAAGTGTAAATGACATATTTCCACTTTTCTGTGAGTAGGATGTGCAGCTGCCTGCGGCCACAGACCTCAAGAAGCCTCGTCTAAAGAAAGGTAAGAAGGACGACTCTATATACATTTATTATACAATTCATTATGATAAAGTAATACAAAACAAAACGAGCGCATTTTCAGGGTTCTCCACTTTTGGACGCCACTGAATCCATTCATCCTGTGGGTGGCGCTGTTTTGCTTTATTTTCAGTGAAGAGGATTATGGCTCAGAGGGAAAAGTCTGTCCAGGAATAGAACGGATTGAGATTAGATTTTGCCGGGGGGCTTGTGAGCAAGAGGAGAAAGATGCAGACGCTGCATGTCACAGCGGACGGGCTCCTTTTGTTCGGGTCTTCTTTTGAGTCTTGTGTGGCCCCCCGTTGCGAGAAGAGACCGCTACGTCTCACAGCGATTTTCAATGCCGCCTTTTGATATTTGCATTTTCAAGATTAGTCCCGTTAATGTCCTAAACAAGATGAAACAGCTTCTTCTGTGTAAACAGGCTCCTCTCTTTAATCTTTGGCCCAAAAATGTCTTTGTATTAGATGGGAATTATCAAGGAAACACATTTTATAAGTAAAACATTTGTCAGGCAGGCCAATTCAAACACGCTGAGACTTCAAACATGATGAAGAAAAGTGAACATTAAGATCCTGCAGACTTTTCGAAGTGCCTAGACTCTGTTGTATTGTTACGAGCTTATAAAGATTGATTTTTCATCTGTCTGCAGCTCCTGAGCTTCCAATTCTGGAGAGGAGAAACTGGCTTATACATCTGCATTACATCCGCAAAGATTATGAGACCTGCAAGGTAAAAGCTGAACCTCCTACAGAGCCAGAGGCCGTAAAGAATACTCTTAATAAAGTGAATTGATTTTTGTTCCTTCTGATTTCAGGCCATCATTAAAGAACAGCTGCATGAAACTCAAGGCATGTGTGAATATGCTGTGTATGTACAAGGTCAGTGAAAAATACACCGTAAACCGACTTCAATGAAGTCAGTGTTACAGACTATAACTATAACTTGAATTGAATTAGGGTTGTGAAATAAAATATTAAATAAATTGATTATTTTTTACTTGCAGATCATGTTCAAAATGGTATAGTACCATAAAATTAGCACACAACTGTACATGAAATACCCATATGACCTGCCAATATGCACTAAAATGTGTTATTAATATATCAAATTTATAAAAAAAAAAATTATATTTATATATAACATTAATTGTGAATAAATAATATATATATATAACATATATATACATGCACATATTTCTTAAATATATACATGCATGTGTGGGTATTTATATATACATACTACACAAACATATTATGTAAACACAAACTTTTATTTTGGATGCGATTAATCGTTGCCCATCCCTATGCCAAACATATAACATGCTAGAAACATAATAATCTCTGACATGTAATGAGGTCATTTGACATTGTTGTTTCAGCGTTAAACTTTAGTATGCAGTACACGGTATACTGTGCAGTAAGCATACACTGGTTAATGAGTGTGTGTGTGTGTGTGTGCAGCTCTGATCATGCGGTTAGAAGGGAAGATCCAGCAGTCTCTGGAGTTGTTTCAGAGTTGTGCGATCCTCAACCCCAAAAGCTCAGACAACCTCAAGCAAGTGGCGCGATCACTGTAAGCACGTTTCAAACACACGAGTGCTGTTAAAATATGGTTTATATGGTGTGTCTGTTTAGCTGGTTTGGATCAGTGTAAACTGAATAGAAGTTGAACTGTGTTTAGTTTCCTGTTAGGGAAGCACAAAGCTGCTATCGAGGTTTATAATGAAGCTGCGCGTCTCAATCAGAAAGACTGGGTGAGTACACGACTGTGTCTTTAAATGAGGAATCCACAATTTTGTTCAATAGAACACACACATTTTGTTCACACAACTCTTTTCCTTAAAATGACAATATTTATTAGGGTTTATATTGTATGTATTTATTTAAATTGTTAAGGTACGGTAGGGGTCAGGGTTTATACTGTATATTTGTGTGTATTTAATGTATTTTTGTATTTTAATTATTCACTTAGTGTCAAGGTTTATATTTTATTTATTCATTTAAATGTGTTAATTTAGTTGTTAGGGTTTAGATTTTATTGATTTAAATAGTTCATTTAGGAGTTTTTTTTATATTTTATATTTTTGTGAAGTTAATTTAGTTATATATATATATATATAATTTTTATATTAGGGCTGTGCAAAAATTAATTGCGAAATAATCCAAAATAAAAGTCTGTGTTTACATAATATATTTGTGTGTGCTGTATATAATTATTTTGTATATATAAATACCTATGCATGCATGTATATATTTAAGAATTATTTGCGTTTAAATTCTGTATATATATTATAAATACATAATCTATATTATATAAATATAAATATTTATGAATAACACATTTTCTTAAATATATACATGCATATGTATACAAAATAATTATATACAGCACACACAAATATATTATGTAAACACAGACTTTTATTTTGGATGCGATTAATCGCAATTAATTTTTGCACAGCCCTATTTTATATTATTTAGTTTAAAGCTTAGTAGCCCCAGTTACCAATAATTTTAATTATCCAGAAAAAAAAGAGTATATTCTTCAGATTTAGTTGTTTTTTGTGGCGGAAAGATTGTGTGAACTTTCATTTTAATCACCTGTAATTTAATGAGATGCATGTGAAATATTGATTTAATGTGTGATTATTTGTACTTGCAGGAGATCAGCCATAATCTGGGCATTTGCTACATCTACACCAAAGACTTAAGAAGTGTAAGATTCAGTTCATATTTACCATATTACTGTAGTAGTAACACATTATGTCTTTAATTGATACAGGCTTTTGTGTGATGTGTTTGAGTGGATTTGAATGGCGTTGTGTTGAACATGTCCTCTCTGTGTCCTCTCGCAGGCAGAAGAGCAGTTAAACTTGGCATTACAGCTGAACAAACACGATCTGACCTTCATGATGCTGGGAAAAATCCACTTGCTGCAGGGAGACACGGAGAAAGCCATCGACGTCTACAAGAGCGCTGTGGAGTACGTCTCAATACACATCCTCACTTTTTATTCTGTTGTAGTAGCATTTCACCCAAACCATCATAGTTCTTGCACTCGTGTAAATCCACAGAGAGCATCCACTCATGTTTGGTTGAACATGTGAAGTCGTGAGCGTTCGGATTTGAAGCTTCATAACACGAGCACTGACACGTGTTTTGTCACCAGTCACATTTGACACTTGAAGTGTTTTGTGGTGACGTACCCAGAATGCATTTCGACAGATTTTTCGCTCAGCGCGAGTAAAGATGTACGAGTTGCAGGAGAGAGGAACTTCAGACGCCTAGAGATGCACTCAGCGTGTCGCTCTGCCACGGCGCAGATAAGACGCCCAAGGCAGCAAAGCATGCTGGGATCCGTGAAGCACTCTTAGCTGTAATTAATCACATTTACCACTCTAACATCTCCCTTTTCTTTTTCTCTGTCTACCTCTTCGTTTTAATCTTTCTCTTTGTCTTCTCAAGAAAACCCGGAGGACTTGCTGAAGTAGTTCGTCTTTTCTCCTTAAAGCGACAGTTCACCAAAAGACTGTCACTGTTTACTCACCCTCATGTTGTCCAAACCCACGTGACGTTCTTTCTTCAGTGGAAAACAAAAGTAGGCTAAATCTTCCCGCTGCTCTTTTCCACGCAACAAAAAGTCAAAGTCTGTCAAGCTCAGAAGAACATGCAACGGCACCGTAAATGTATAAGAACAGGAGACCGAGTCACGTGTGCAGTTCTGCAGACCTATATTTTTCAACTATAACTTAAACTATACCCATTTAATAATATTTTCATATTATTATTATGTTTTATTTAGGGCTGTCAAATGATTAATTGCAATTAATCACATCCAAAATAAAAATTTGTGTTTACATAATATATGTGGGTGCACTGTGTATAATTATTTTATATATAAATACACACACATGCTTGTATGTATTTAAGAAATATTTTCATATATATACTGTATATAGAGTTATATATAATTTATATTATATATAAATATAAATATTTTATTTATAAATATTTTTTTTTTCTTCAATATACATGCATGTGTGTGTATTTATATATACAAAATAATTATACACAGTGCACCCACATATATTATGTAAACACAAACTTTTATTTCGGATGCGATTAATCGCGATTGATAATTTGACAGCCCTAGCTTTATTATTATTATACAAATATATAAACGCATATATTTTTATTTCTACATAAATATAAAATAATTTTACAGAATATATTAATAATTTGTATTATTTGCATTATGATAACAAAAAATTATAATGCTGAATTGTAATTAAAATTATGTTAAAATGCAAAAACGTTTAAAAATAGCCTTCGTTATCTTAAATATTATTTCTTATTTCTTTGTTTTGATTGGTGGAGTCAGTGATGGCCAATGACACTAGTCTTCATGAGCTCTATTTACATTGATTATATATTGTCTCCTTTAGAGAAAGTCTTTGTAAATAATAATGACAGAGTTTTTTAGGGTCAGCTAAAGACACTTTTTTAATGTTCAACAACTGAAAGTGCAAAAGGAATCACTAATCTGCTTTTCTCGGCGGGAATCCAACGATTTGATGACTCTTGATTACTGTTGTTGACTTTCCTCTCTTCCCGGAGAGCAGAAATGGAGATGACTCTGAAGATTCTCCTCCTCTTGTCCACACACACTCTGGCTCGGATATCAGAGAACCGCGGGGAGCTTTGAGTGTGTGTGAGATCTCATTATCGCAGGCGTCCCACTGAGCTGATGAATTAGTAACATGCGGCAGTGGGACGCTTTCAGAGATCCCACATATCCACCCGCTTCACCTCACTATAGCGGGAAGATGTGCCTCACAGCCAGCATGAATTAATAACAGCTTGCTGCTGGCATGAGCCGCTCACACACACACACACACGACCCGAGAAAAGCCTGCTTTCATCATTCTCAAGTGTGTCACTCGCCACAGCAAGACCTGTTTCTGAATCAATATGCTTTAGTCCTGGAACAGCAACTAATAAGCACACAGCTTATAGTAACTCAAATCTGATTGGTCGACTGAAGTCTGATACTTTGCTAAGTCAGATTAAGCTGAAAGGAAGGAATATAGACCATTTTGGAAGATGTAAACAACACTGGTCCAGAAGCACTTCCTGTTTCAGTTTTTTAACACTACATAAAAGCTGGGATAAAAATACAACCAACAGAGCATTTAAAACTGAATCAAAAAGTTAAACAAACATCTTTAAGATGTTTTCTTTACAGTTACAAACTGAAACAGGAAGTGTTTCTGGACCAGTGTTGTTTACTGTACATCTTGCAAAATGGTCTATAATCACAATTCTGTCATAATTTACAATGCTTTACGTATTTTCTTCCATGAAACACAAAAAGAGACGTTTAGTCTGCTCTTTTCCATACAATGAGAGTTAATGGTGTTCTAACTGAAACTTTGAATTATAAGGCGTTATTAGTTGAGTTATTAATGACAAGTGTTCATATTAATATGTGTTATCATGTTAAACTGGTTTGTGAGATGAATAATGAAATCATAAAAAATTAAATAATTACATTTGAAATAAAAAGAATAAATATTAAAAAAAAACATTTTATTTGTTTACCTTGAGCGTAATGGGACTATTAACCAACATACTGGAAACTGTGAACATGTTATTATGTTGAAATATTAACTTTTATATCTTTAGGTAAATATTTTAGGTCGGCTGACAAAAAACGCTTGGGAATTACTCTGTAAAAAAAAAAAAGTAATTTCAACTTTTCATTAAACCTTGAATCTTGTATAACTTGTATTTGATGAGTTAAAGCAATGTAAAACATATGTAGTAATGCATTATTGATCATATACTTTTTTACAGTGTAATGACAATGTGCTTAATTTTCTGGAAATTAATGTTAGAGTGTAAAAGCTTTTTAAACATGCTTTCTTATTAATATAAATGAGCAAATAAGTTAATAAATTAATACATAAGTATAAGTAAATTAATAAATAAGTTTCTTATTTTTTACATGCTTGATTTTAGGTTGAAATATTGCCGTTTTCTCTGTCAGGTTTTCTCCCGAGAACACGGAGCTGTTGACCACGCTGGGACTGCTCTACATGCAGGTGAGGGACGAGTGTGTGACGTGTGCAAATCATTCATACCTTCCGTTTGATTTCAGACACACAAGATGATGATGATTAGGGACTTTTACTAGCACTTAACCCTAAAAATGTCTTTTCTTAATGTGTAGACTTGAAGTGTTGGTCTGGTGGATGATGAAATAGCAGAATCACATATTTATATTAAAAGCTAGACAATGTTATAAACCCCTAGCGTAAAATGTGTCTGTTATTCTTGTTCTTGTCCACTTTTGTCTTAGCTTGGGAAATACCAGAAAGCCTTCGAGCACCTCGGGAACGCTCTGACATACGACCCTAATAACTTCAAGGTGGGATGAAGTGTGTGTAATCCTCATTACTGTTATACATCCCAACATGTGTAAATCATGGAAACAATGTTACTATTATAGAAACACTATTATTAAATATTGGCTGTAATTAAAAGATCATTTTTATTGTTTGTTTTTATTTTTGCATTCTCCCAATCTGTTGTTTCTCGTGTGTGTGTGTGTGTGTGTGTTCAGGCCATCCTCGCGGCCGGCAGTATGATGCAGACTCATGGAGATTATGACGTGGCCATGAACAAGTATCGTGTAGCGGCATACGCTGTCCCCGAGAGCCCCCCGCTCTGGAATAACATCGGCATGTGCTTCTTCGGCAAAAAGAAATACGTTGCTGTGAGTGTGACAGACCATCATGCCTTTCTTTCATCCACTGTGGTTTTCATGCCCTCCTGCTTCTCTCCTCCAGGCCATCAGCTGTCTGAAGAGGGCCAACTATCTGTCTCCGTTTGATTGGAAGATCCTGTATAATCTGGGTTTGGTTCACCTCACCATGCAACAGTACGCGTCAGCTTTCCACTTCCTGAGCGCCGCCATTAACCTGCGGCCACGCATGAGCGAGCTCTACATGCTTCTGGCCGGTAAATATTTCACAGACTTTGTTTTCAGACGCCTGTTTTTAAAGGGACACTCCATCCATTTGCATTGAACGGATAGTTCACCTAAAAATGAAGTCATTAATTACTCACCCCCATGCTGTACCAACCCCGTAAGACCTTCGTTCGTCTTCGAAACACAAAGATATTTTTGATTAAATCTGAGAGGTGGATCACTGCCACATTGGCTGCCTAAGGGATCGAAACTTGACGGCCCAGAAAGTCATCAAAGAAAATGTTTAAATATTCCATTTGAGCCGATATTATCGGCCGATATTAGGCATTTTCCAAACTTTCGGTATCGGCAGTTATAATGACCGATAAATGAATATTTCAACAATAAAATTAAAACGGACGAAACACGCTTGAACCATGTCATGAGTGTTGGAGTTGTATAGTTTGTCCACCAGAGGGCACTCTACACCGTTCCTGTTGGCAACACTCGTTGAGTTGGTCACGATACATACATTGCATCATCCCCATCAGTTCTCTAAACTCAAATAAGCATGACAAAATTTGTGACTATCATGTCCAGTTTAAAAAAAATAAAAAAATAAATAAATAAAATATCGGCCGATATATCGGAATATCGGATTTTAAAACCCCAAAATATTTGTATCGGTATCGGCCTTCAAAATTCTTTATCGGGTTGGGCTCTATATTCCATGTGACTACAGTGGCTCAACTATAAGTTTATCAAGCGACGAAACTACTTTTTGTGCGAAAAAAAAAAAAAAAATAACGACTTTATTCGACTACTCCATTTCTTACTTGTGGACCTGAGACGAGAGTTTAAGAGATTTCCACGACGCATGCGCCAGAACTGAACTGAAGTAGTAGAAAAATAACATAGTTCTCGCATGCGAACTCTCGTCTCAGGCCCACAAGGAAGAAAATTTCAGAAAAGTCGTTATTTTTCGCACAAAAAGTATTCTCGTCGCTTGATAAACTTAAGGTTGAGCCACTGTAGTCACTCGGACAATTTTAACGATGTCTTTAATAACTTTCTGAGCTGGCAACTTACAGAATTTAATTTTTTGGGTAACTATCCCTTTAAAGGTGGATGTGATTGGACCACCAGCGGACCAATCAGGTGAGATGAAAACAAAATAATTGTTTTGGTCATGGAAACTTGCAAAAACAAAATGCTTAGGCATGATTTTATGATTTGATCCTCACAAACTTCATCAAATCCAACTAGTCTATGAATCACGTTTACCAAATAAATCCTGGGATGCTCAACAAAAAACGTATATGACTTCAACACTGGGTAACTGGACTAACCAGCGGACCAATCGCAAATGTTGGTTTGAGTTGAATGATTTAGTTGAATCCCCTCTGAAGCGTCTCACACGATTGCGTCAGACACAAGTCATTTATGTGTACGAAACATGAATCCGCTTTGTATTACAGATATTTTGCAGTGTTGATTTTGTTATTAATAATCAAATATATTGTTATTAGCTGTTAAAGTCATGTTCCTAAAGCTCAGTGTAAGTGTGAGAATCCAGTTGTTGATTATTTGTTCTCTGACCTTCATCAGTTGCCCTGACCAATCTGGATGACCCGGATAACGCCCGCAGGTCTTACGAACAGGCGGTTCAGCTCGATGAGTATGTTCTCAAACCCTGATCTGTGCTGGGAAATCATGAGCCAATGCAGAGCTAGAGTTTAATGAGTGAGTTTTCCTGGCAGGTCAAACCCGCTGGTGAACCTGAACTTTGCGGTGTTCCAGTATAATCAGGGCGATAAGAAGGCCGCCCTGCAGCAGTTCCAGGAGATGGAGAGGAAGGTCAACGCTCAGATCGAGAGTGACAGCAACACAGAGTTTGACCCTGAGGTACCACTGCTCTAATTCTGGACGAGAACTGCTCACTCAGACTAGACTGACACTGAATGGGACGAAGCGGTTCTGGTCATGGATATGTGCTTTACTAGCAATAAAAAGCTCAAAACAAATCTTTTAAAGCCACAATCCTCACAAAATGTCTCAAATCTGTGAATCACCTGTAGAAGAAAAAATAGAGATTTAAAGGGATAGTTAACTTTGAAATTAATTTTTGATATGTTTTATCTTACCTCAAGGGCATCCAAGATGTAGGTGTCTTTGTTTCCACAGTATTTTCAATTTCGACATTTTTCAGTCAAACACTGGAGGCTAAGGGGGTCCACCAAAGAGCATGCACAGAGAAGTAAAAATTAAACATGATTTAATGAAATCAAACTCGTAGATGTAAGTACACATTGATGGCCTAAGACATGAAACGAACGGTTTTTGTGAGAAAACCAACAGTATTTATATCGTTTTTTTACCTAATATCGGAAAGAAAACGAACGTGAGAAAACGGTTTGTGAGAAAACGAACAGTATTTATATCGATTTTTTACCTAATATCGAGCGGTTTTTGTGAGAAAACGAACAGTATTTATATTGTTTTTTTTACCTTATATCGTTTTTTTTTTTTACCTAAATCATGTTTAATTTGGACTTCTCTGTGCTGCTCTTTGGTGGACCCCCTTAGCCTCCAGTGTATGACTGATAGACAACAACGGTTTGACTGAAAAATGGCAAAATTGAAAATACTGTGGAAACAAAGACACCTACATCTTGGATGCCCTTGAGGTAAGATAAAACATATCAAAAATTAATTTCAAAGTGAACTATCCCTTTAATATCACTATTATAGTTTTTTTCCTTTACAATTCAACCTTTCTTTCTCCCAAATTGTCCTTACCATAATGTGTCCCATCATAAATATATATTTTTGTATAATTCTTATTTATAAATGGTAGTTTCTTAAAACTTTTTTATTTGGTTTTATTCAGCTTTTTTTTTTTTTACATCTTCATCAATGCATGAAAACGTATTCTCTATATCAGTGTTGGTGTCTTGAGTTTCCTCCGCGAACAAACACGTCTCAATATTCCTCATTATAATAATTAATATGTGTATTAATGGTTGAGTTAGCTGGTAGTGTGTTAAACTGGTGGCTATGGTCATTTCCTAAACACACTTGAAGCGCTTGACCCAGCTGACCAATAATAATCTGAGAATTATAAACTGAGAATAATCAACATTTAAGCAGGGTAAAGACTTGGTAAAGGGCAAGTCTCTTTTAATGTAAAATAATAAAAACGTATTTTCCTATTTTCTCAATCTGTTCCTCATTATATCAGTCTGGTAATTAGTGAAAATGATGATTGGGTCTTTCTCACACAGATGGTTGAAATGGCTCAGAAAATAGGCAGTGCTCTACAGGCGGGTGAGAACCTGTACTGGAGCAAACCAGGCAAAGACGGCAAGACCAGCCACCGGTCCTCCTCCTCCTCCTCCTCCAGCAAAACCAGCAGCTCCCAGCAGCCCCTGGGCACCAACCAGGCCCTGGGTCAGGCCATGTCTTCAGCCGCTGGCTACAGCAAGAGCATGCAGATCTCCACAGGTGCACAGACACTGTTGTTGTGCGGATGAACACATTAAAAGTTTTCTGTTAGAACTGTGTCGTGTAAGCGGCCCTTAATAACTACTAATCTTTGCAACAGAAGTGACTAACTTTAGCTGGACTGTAACTTGATTCTAGAGCTGCTGTAAAGCCTAAACTCTCTCTGTTACTGTAATCTCCTGTTATCACTGTAAAGCTGCTTTCAAACAGTGCTGTAGAAATGAAGGAGACTCATCCTAATGCTCCGTTTTTCTCTCCAGTGCCCGAGGCGGATGTGAGCATTGCCCCGTCTCCCCCTACAGTCACTCCTGGAGACCCCGAGGATGAGGATGAACCCGACAAACTCACAGAGAAGAAGAGTAAACCCAAAGCAGAGGCTGAATAGAGCTCAAACTACATCTTTCTCCTGAAGAACGTGTTGAATGTATAGTATAATAGTGCAGGTTACAATCACAGATGTATTACATGAAATAAAGGTCTGTCCACCTTTAGACATATAATTATATGAGAAAGTTTTGTATAAAAAGCAGGATCCATTTTTTATATTAGTGAACTACATTAGTTAACATGATGAAAAATGAAGAATTGTAAATCTTAATGCTAATTTCAGTGTTTAATAATACATTACTAGGATTAAATGTTGTATCTGATAATAGTATTTAAAGGGATAGTTCACTTTGAAATTAATTTTGATATGTTTTAGCTTACCTCAAGGGCATCCAAGATGTAGGTGTCCAAGATGTTGTTTCCACCGTATTTTCAATGGACTACTTGCACTGAGCTTCGCGACTCACTTCCGTTTGGAAACAATACATATCACTTACTTCCGGTTATGTTTACTTTCAATGTACTGCGGTCAATCGTCAATGAGTTGAACAAACACCACCATGAGTGTCTGTAATAAAGTTTTATATTTTGGACATGTTTATTGACAGAAGAAGGGATATTCTGATGTGTACTGTGTGTGTAGAAACTGAAGGAAAATGAAGTTTAAATCCAAACCAAGCCAATCCGAGAAAGCTGCGGCAGTTAAAAAACGCCGTTATTTCACCACAGGGTGTCAGCGTTCGTCTACGTTGGTGAGAACAGATGAATAACAACATCAGTACGAAACACGAACATTTATTTGGATTAAATATTGTAATTTTTCAATGTCAATCGTTTTACTGTTTACATGTTCATGACCAAAATGCTTAATTAATTTTCAGAGAAGTTGACTCATTCTCCTCTATGCTGCGGGCGTTGATCTACGATCGCACCTCGCGATCATTCATTTATTCATTCATTCATTCAACTATTTTAAAAAGACAGGAATAAAGCACCAATGCACACTTTTCATTAGTCAAATTCATTTAAAAAAAATGTAAACTCATGAATATAAGTAGGCAAAGACAAAACTACTGTTGTTAATGAGAAGATAAGACTGCTGCAGGTTAGTGGATAAATATATTGTAATGACCTGGCAGTCAGCGCTAGCAGCTGGGTGCATTATGGGTAATTTTTTATTAAGAGTTGATTTATGTGTTATTGCAGTAAGATCTTTAAGTTTTTGTGATAGTAAAGTTATGTGTGCTAATGTTCAAGTTAGCTCAGATGTTCTTGGTTAATTTACTGCTAAATGTAAAATGTGTCTCTCACCGTCATGGAGATGTGTAAGGCAATAGGGCCTTGCCTGGGTAGTTTTTTATGTGTTGTTTGGTCCTGTTTGAAAAGACAACTAATTCTTCACCTGTGGGAGCACTCTGGGTCGTGCGGTGTATGGGACATGAGTGTTCTGACCTTATGTTAGGAATGGGCTATATGCACGCATAAGTTCCGCATTTGACGTAAGGATGCTCGTCCATTTCCGGTTGTGTAGATTAAAGCGGAGGAAAACCGGAGAAAACGGGATTATGGCAGAGTCTTCAATATTTACTGTCCTCCCGTCTTTGAAACGAAACGTACATACGTTTAGATGTAAGTTTATATATAGTTATGTTTATTTAATATAATTTTAAAAAGAAGCATAAACACAACGAGGGGTGTCTGTTTTATCTGTTTTTGTGACTAACGTTTCATTAGTATAACCATGGAGTATAAAATTCAATATAAATTCTCGGTATTGCATTGGACTCTATGATCGGCGGAAGTTATCGAGCATCCTTAATCCTTCACCGGAAATAACGCCGTGCATAGAGCCCATTAGCTTAGTATAAGTGTTATTAGCGTAGTTTGGGTCTGGTTATACCTATTTATTCCAGTTATTCCTATTTATACCAGTTATTGGTAGTTATGTCACAAAATATGTTTAGTGAAAGGTAAAACTTCCGAAATCTCTGTGTAAACAATGCGTGACATAGACGCGCGAGAGATCACTTCCGGCGTAACGCCTGGAGACGTTCGGTTCAGTTGGACATCTGATTCAGATCAGGTCGACGGCTGTTAACAAGAGGTAAAAACTACATAAATACTGTTGGTTTTCTCACACAAACCGCTTGTTTCGTGTCTTAGGCTCATCAATGTGTACTTACATTCACGAGTCATTAAATCATGTTTAATCTGGACTTCTCTGTGCTGCTCTTTGAGGAGATCCCCATTGACCTCCATTACATGACTGACAGACAACAACGGTTTGACCAAAAAAAATGTCAAAATTGAAAATGCTGTGGAAACAAAGACACCTACATCTTGGATGCCCTTGAGGTAAGCTAAAACATATCAAAAATTAATTTCAAAGTGAACTATCCCTTTAAATCGCTGTTTTACAGCTGTTTTTATTAACTCATTTTAACCAAGAATCTGTAACAAATGTAATGGTCAATGGTAGTTAATTGAATAGTTTTAGCATGTTATTACAGCAAACACTGAACCAGATTATTTAAATGCTGAGCAAGCAATCTCATTGTCTGCAGGATCATCAAGGCCAATCAGCTTGAGCTATGATGTAATTGCTTGCAGACTGCGTGTTAAGGACTGATATATAATCCATTATCTACATTATCTACTAATAGGACCATATTGTAAAGTGTTCCAAAAAAGCATTTTATTATCATTTTGTTCATTGTAACAATAAAAAAACTGACATTTTGCAACTGGATCAGAAGTGTTTTATTTATATAAAAATATTCCATACTCAACAGAGCTAATATTTCTAGTCTTAACATTTATGATTGACATTTTGCCAAGTAACTCTTAAAAGACTTTGTTGCATAATCACATGTGCAAACTAGAACCCTAAAATGTTTTATATACCTAAAAGTTGTATGAATATGTACTTTGAGAGTTCCTCACACCAAGACTCAACATTTGCTGTGTTTGAAAAAAAAAAAAAAAAAGTAAAACCCCAAAACATCTCAATTTATGATATTGCCAGTGACAAATCATACAAACATGGATGTCAAATCTAAATACATTGATGGATACGGTCAAGATTCGTGTTGGTTTGAGAAACTAACAGCGTCAACAACATGGAGTGTAACAGAAATACAGTACGCACACGAGCCGAGGCTTTTCTTCAGCTGCTGATCTGAACGTCTTGCCAAGGCCTTATTCAAGAAACAACACAAATAGACTTGTGTGTAAACCGTTCATAAACCTCAGAATTGCTTTACAACACTGCTGAATATTTCTAAAGCTTTTGTTAAAACGCCTCAGACAGGTTTGTCAAAGTTTAAGGCTGATTTAAGACCGACGATCATTCACATACTGAGATTAATTAGAAAAAAAATTAAAAAGTCACATGTGTGTGGATGGTACAACATGGCTGACATGATCAGCTTTAAAACTAATGACATCATTTGTATGTACATATTCATTATGTGTGATAGGAAGCATCATAATTCACAACAGTCATTAACGCCACCTTAATTCACCAGAAATCAATGGCTAAAAAACTGATAACCAGACTGAATGAACAATATTTACCAATTCTCTTATTATATACAAACGATGCTGGTACCAACGTACAAAAAAACCCTAGTTATATTCCCACCCTTAAGAACAATGAGATTCAATTAAGACAAGAATAATGAAATATTTAATGACATTATGTGCATTAATAATGGCTAGAATAAGCTGGTGATTGAACCTGGGAACATTGCTCCTACTTAATTTCATTAGGATAAGACAACTTTCCAACTGTGAATCGGCAGCATTCAAGTCATGATATTAATTAACGGTCCTTAAAATACCAAATAAAAGTGTTTAAGACTCTAAAATCATAATTTGGTTCCTGTTAAACAGAGTATGAGCTAGTTAAACGTTAAAGAAGCAAGTTCTTTCATCATTTACTCACCCTCATGTTGCTCAAAACCCATGTGACTAACGCAAATGAAAATAATTTCGCTCTGGGTGAGGGTGAGTGAATGATGCCAACTTTATTTTTGAGTAAAAAAAAAAAAAAATGGCGTTGTTATTACGTTCAGTGCTGTCTTTAACAATACGATTTCAGACAAAGGTAGCAACAACGAATCTCTGGAAAGAGGAGAGTGCACTCAAACTGCATTTCAACACACAAACATCCTCTTTTGCGAGTCTTTTGAGAAGAGGATGTTTCTTCAAAAAGATGGGTGTGTGAACTCTGAAAACAGAAGTCCCTCGGCTGAGATGGCGTCCCCCAGTCCCACAGTCCTCAGCGGCTGCTTGCACACTAGCACCGGCGTGAGATGGAAAGACACGTTCCCTCTGCGCCACACGGTGACCGGTCTCGTCGGGTCCAGCGTTAGCCTCTCTCTCGGTTCTGAGAAGGAGCTGTAGAAGCTCAAAGGCGCCTTGAGGATGACTTTATCGATATCCACGGTTTGCAGACCGCAGGCTTGACTGCTCGCCACACGAGCGCCTGAAGCCACCGCCGCCTCCTGGTTCCCCCAGTGACCCTCCACCGTAGCCAGAATGTGGTACGCCAGGGTGTGGAAGTGGATCCGGGTCAGGTCGGCCTCAGATTCTGGGTCCGCCCGGCCGTGTTGCTCGAAGATCCAGAGCAAGATGTCGCTGACGCGGCCCACGTCGGGTATGCCGTCCCACGAAGCGAGGTCGGCGTGAGGTCCTCCTCCAGACTGAGTCAAAAACAGCAGCTCCTGCTCGTTCAGGCCGATGGAGTTCACGATAGGAATGACCTGCTAACAGAAGAGCGCAAAGAAACCTGAATGTTGAAGATGAAAACCTCACATATTAGGTGTTCAATTTGGCAAACTGACATTTTGACATTTTTACAATGTAAAACTAGAAGGCGTTTCTTTTAAAATGAACATTCCTCAACACTGTTCGTTGTACGACACCTCTAATGCCTCGTTTACACTGCATGGTTCAAGTGACCCAAATCCGATTTTTTTCCTCTCATGTGGCACTAATCGGATATGACGGTGAATAGGGTTGGGTATCGAGAATCGAGTATCGATTGGAACCGGGACTAACTTTACTTTTCGTTTTTCCCGGAATCGTTCAAAAGTTAAAATTTCGATTCCTAGTTTCGATATTCACAAAAAAAAAAATGTTTCGATATTCACAGTCTGCCGAGCGGAAGAAGAAACCGCTGAACAACACCAACGAAGAAGCGTCTACCAGAAGTGTTGGCATAACCACGCGAGTCGAACATGAGTAGCTTACGTCGGCGATCCAAAGTGTGGCTTCACTTTTCTAAAAATAACAAAATCTCGGCAAAATGCAAAATTTGTGACAAAAGGAGTATTTTTACAGAAGGAATATTTCCTTCAGAAAGACCGTTGGTTAGCAAGGTTAGCTAAACTTTTTTGACCCTGCCTCTTAAAAGAATCGGAATCGAGAATCGTTAGGATCCGGAATCGAAACAAGGAATCAGAATCAGAATCGTTCAAATTCAAATGATACCCAACCCTAACGGTGAACGTGTAAGCAGGAAAAAAACGCATGGATTCCGATTTTCTCAGATCGGATTCAGGCCTCATTCATATGTGGTAATAAATCGGATATGAATCGGATACGTGCATTTGCGTGTGCCATGTAAGCAGACAAATCGGATATTCCCCAGTAAATGCGAGTCATGCGTCATTAAAAACTGCGATAATTGCGATAATAACTGGATAATTTCATTCGCATCGGCATCCATTGAATTTCGTGCTGTTTTGCTTAATTTCCCGGTTCAGAACCATCAGAACGTCTGCATTTGGTAGTTTCAGCAGTGTATAGTGTGAATGCAAAAATCGGATATGGGTGACACTTTTAAAAGATGATGTAAGCAGGTCGTCAAAAAATCGCATATAGTCAGAAAATCGGATTTGGGCATCAAGACCTGCAGTGTAAATGCAGCCTAACAAATCCCAGAACTTTATCCTTTTATACGGCGTGTCTACTGAGCGTTAGCATGCATTAAACCTACACAATTACCTCCTGCAGGATCCGGTTCATGTAGTCTCTGTCCGTCATGCTGGCCAGCTCAAGGTGGATGGGCACCTCGTTCCTCACGTCTGAGATCGCAACCACCGCCTGCAGGAAATCACAACACAATCACCATTAAAAAAAGATCATCTAATAAGCAGAATTGACCTCAAAAGTGCCATTAAAAAGTGCCACAAAAACCATTAGGATATTAAGTAAAGATCATGTTGCGTGAATTTCTTACCGTAAATATATAAAGAAATATTGTAAATGGAGAAATACGAAAGACGGCATTATGTACTGGATATTTTTGTAAATGATTGGTCTCCCTTTAAAGGGTATTTTGGACACGAATAAGATGTAATAATATGGACTGAAACTAAGAAATGTAAATTGTTTTTTGGATTCCCGTTCGACATTTATGTGTGATACCTGTGTATACATGAAGAAATTGATAATGTCGATGTAGTAGACTTGCAATTATTATTTATTTGTTATTATTTTATTTATTTATCTTTTTTTTGTTGTTGTGGTAAGAGAGAAAAGATGTGAAAATAAACAGTTTAAAAAAAATAAATTGAGAAATTTAGATTTTTTTGCACCCTCAAATTCTAGATTTTTTTTGTCCTATCCTAACAAACCACACATCAATGGAAAGCTTATTTATTCAGCTTTCAGATGATGTATAAACCTCAATTTCAAAAATTAGGTTTTGTGGTCCACGGCACGGTCACTCACAAATATCTCTGCTTGAACATCAAAATGGCGTTGGTATATACGTACTATATTTTAGTAATACATCAAAAGTTTGTCTCATCCAATCTGTTTTTAGAATTGGTGACCAATGATTCTCTTTTTCAGACCTCTTTCAGTCGTTCCTCCCAGAGATCTCGGCCCATTCCTTCCATCATATGCAGTCCGGACAGAACCACCAGATCCGGCTGGAACTCGTCCAAACTGGCCACGAACGTCTCCAGCGTGCTCATCTCCCCATTGGACACATCGTGGGACAGGATGAAGCGGTTCGCCTGAGGAGCTTTCGAGGAACCCCACTGTTCACCTGTAGGGGGCAGCAGAGAGGACACACTTTCTTCAATTCCCCCTGTGGTGAAAATCAAGCTTTTAAACTTGTTTACATGTCTATATGGAGAAATCACGTGTAAATTCACAAGTCAACACCATTGCTGAGTATTTTCTACATACTTAAAACATTTTGGCGGTGTTGGCTGCACACGCAAGGTCTCTCGCTCGCTCTCCTTTCTGCCGCCGCGCGGAGCTCAACGTCTGTCTCGCATGCACGCTCGCTCTAGATTACAGGATTTTTTAACTATTTTGCTGTAAAACTAGTCGATCAAGAGATCAAGATCTATAGATAAACTCATCTTTCAGGCATTTGACCGACTGGGTTGACGCTTCAGCGTTAGAAAATCGGGGGTGTGGCGTGAGAGCGTGAGAATTGGCTCAATTGCATGCGAGTTGGCAGCTGAGAGTTCCTGTCATGTGATTGGCTGATTAGACATTTGTGTTAACGAGCAGTTGGAGAGGTGTACTTAATAAAGTGTTTGTTTCTCTTTACTGTGAAAAACTAATTACAGAATAAATGTGATTTCGAGCGCGTCTCACCCGACTTGTACTCCAGGATCAGGTGGAACTCATCGGCCTCCTGCAGAGACTCTGGCGGGACCACGATCTGCTCATCCAGCATGTCATGAAGCTTCGGCCCCACCGGACCACACAAGAGGACCTGAGAGAACACAGCACACTTTCAGGTGCTCATTAGGTATGAATGGACAATTCAGGACAATTTGACCTTTTATCCAGTGATGCGCTTAAAGATTTTAGCATTAGCAGAACAGTTTGGAGCTAGCTCAGTAGCACAAGACACTCACCTCGAGTTGTGGGTTAGACGCTAGTTTCTGGCCAATCAAAGCAGCGTTACCGCCCACATAAAGCTGCAAGAAACAAGAAAAAAAAAAAGCCATTTTGAATAAATCTGGTCTCGTTAAAACATACAAGATCAATCACAAGACTATTTTATATCAAGTATCAGATTTAAAGGGATACTCCACTTTTTTTTTTGGAAATAGGCTCATTTTATCACTCCCCCAGAGTTAAACAGTTGGGTTTTACCGTTTTCAAATCCATTCAGCCGATTTTCGGATATTTAGAAGAATATCAGTAACCAGACAGTTTCCATAGTAGGAAAAAAATAGGTCCCACTTTATATTAAGTGGCTTTAAAGGTATAGCGGAGGATCTTTCCGAATTTTAGAGAAGACCCGCCCTCTTCAATTTAAAAAAAAAAATGCACATGGACAAACACAACACTCTTGCTCCCGAGAGGGAACGCCTATTACGCCTTACACAATTATGTTGCAAATTATAAACTAACTCGAAAACATTCATAAAAAAAGACAGCATGTCAAATGCCCTTCCGTGTTTTATTTACTTATTATACTGATCGATTGATTGACCGAGGACTCAAGACATGATATGTGGAACCCTGTATCAGACGAAATACGTTCTGAGGAAACTATTTTGTAAATCGCAATTACGTTACATGGCAACATATAAGCAGTGCCATTACGTTGGTCCTTAACCTAATATGTCTCATTGTTTATAATACGTTATTTTTATAGTTGTAATGGAGAAGTAGCTTGTTGCATTTGTATAATAATAAACACACAAGGTTTTAGAATATGAACACATAAACACACAAGGTTTTAGAATATTTCAGCGTGATACCATTTACCATTTGGTCAAAAGGCTACTTTAGACAAATTGAGATGTTTACCGTGTCTATGCGGTGCATGACTTGTGCCACGGCTAGCATTAGCTTGCATTAACTTTTACTAGTGATTTTAAATGGATTTCTCCAAATAGCATGACAAACTTTACCTGTCTAGTAGAATCTTCGCGATCGCTACTGCGGCATCAATGAGAAGCCCAACCTGTGCTTTTAGCGCACGCCAGCGTGTGATATTCACCCAAAATCACTCACTCTTCTTATCATACACTTCGTATACATTTTTTCTCTTTCGACCCTCAGTCATTTTCAAAGGAATGGCTGAAACCGCAACTCCGACATAATACACCTGAAAGTGAAAACTACATAGGGATGAGCACGTACGACGGCCTTACGCAAACATATCACCAGAATGATTGACACTTAGGTGGACCAATAGTATAGACTACCCACCCGGAAAAAGAAAATCCTCCGCTATACCTTTAAGTACTATGTACTTACATTGAACAACAAGTACAATGTATTATTGTGTTCCTGTTGTATTGTAAAACACTTTTGCTGCTATTGAGGTGTGATACGGGTAAGGTTAGGGACAGGTGTGGTGGTATGGGTCGGTTTAAGGGTAGGTTAAGGTGTGAGGGGAGGGTCAACTGTGTAATTACAAATGTAGTTGCATAAATTAATAATTATAGCTGTAATTACATGCTGGAATTTTAAAATGTAAGAACATGTATGTACACAATAAGTCCATTGTATCAAATTATTAATTTCAATGTAAGTACATAGTACTAAAAGCCACTTAATATAAAGTGGGACCAAAAAATATACTATGGAAGTCAATGAGACCAGAAACTGTCTGGTTACTGATATTCTTCTAAATATAAGAAAAAAATCGGCTGAATGGATTTGAAAACGGTGAAACCCAACTGTTTAACTCTGGGGGAGTGGTAAAATGAGCCTATTTCCAAAAAAAAGTGGAGTATCCCTTTAAAAGTGCTTATTCAATTGCCAGATATTTTATATTGTTGTAAAAAAAATATTGTTGGCTTAATTTTTGTGAAAATGTGCTATAATTAATATAGGATTTGTCATGAGCTCTGCACCTATTAATTACTGTTGATTATGCTAAATTACATTTGACACAGAAACTCAATTCCCTCTCGTGCCTTCACATTAAACCATCGGATCTCAAGGGCCGGATTCATTTACAGCGGATGCCAAAATTAAAGCGGATATTGTAGGACATTTGCAAAAAACTGATTTTAATCACACTAGAGCAGTCGAACCTGTCGGACAGTTTTTAGCGTGCTCAGAGACCGGCTAATCTCGGTCCTCGGCTCGTGCCCTGAGGAAAACCATGTTCTAAAGGGCCGCTCCTTATGTCATTGAACACTTCACTGCGCACCTGAGCGCCGGGATATTCGGCAGCCGCCCGTGCGATCCTTCGAAAAACCTCCTTATCTGAGAAGAAACGCTCTGCAGCGGCGCCCTTCCCCATGTAGTGGATGAAGGCCTCTTTCAGGTCCTCTTTGCTGTGTAGCACCTCGTGGTCTCTGCCGGGACCCGGTTCGAGAGCCAAGGCCTGTAACAGCCCCACTCCGGACACCACCACATCCACACAGGCGTTCACCCTGATGAACAGAGCAAACAAAGGGCTGAAGCACAGATGTACGTGTTCAGACATGTGAGGCCCAACTGCTGTGAACAAAACATTCATTGAATTAATTCATTAGTGGAAACATTTTACAATAAGGTTTCTGACGTGAGCTAAACCTTTGTTGGTGTATTTGTAAATCTTTGCTGATGTTCATGTTAGTTCAATGTTTCGATTTTAATCATGTATTGGTAAATGTTGAAATTAGTATTTCACAATATCACAAAGATTAATAAATGCTGTGGAAGTGTATTAGTTCATGAACCTTATTGTAAAGCGTTACCGAATTAATCAAAAAGTATAGAACAATAATGATGAATCAACGACTGAATGAATGAACAAATGAGTCACAACCTATTTGCTTAACTGAGATAATTAACAAAAAGAAAAAAGCAACTTCATAACTATCCTATAGATCACGAGTTGTTATTGATTTGGTACCTTAAGCTATTTAAAAAGAAAATCAGTTATTGAAACCTGAAAAAATAAGATTAAGTACTAAACAAAATCACTACAACTTAAACTAAAATGAAAACATATGTATTAAGAATATTAATAAATAATCTAACAGTGTGAAAATAATATGTACTAACACGTTTATACAGTGAAAGAAACAAATAAAAGGAAAAGACAAAAAGACACGAACAACTAAAGAACCAATGGAAAAACATCACAAGGTAAAGAAAGCCCCGAATAAACGAGTGTATTGCGAGTCGCTCACCCCACAGCCACTCTCCCCCAGCGTTTGGCCGGAGTCGTGATCAGGGTCTGCCAGGCGCGAGCGATGGCCTCCTCCAGCGCAGGGGGGCGGGGCTCTGAGCTGTCACTCAGCTCCATCTGAGGCAGCGATTGGCTGATGCAGTTCAGCACACGGGCCGGTAGCTCCGGGTCAGTGTGGTACAGATAACCCATCCCCAACGCCAACAGGGCCACCAGCACAGCCTTCCTCCACATGACCTGTGAAACACACACTTCCTCTTCAGGATACCATGGTGGAACACATATCATGGTAATACTAGGCAAAATCATGGTTTAATTAGACACATGCATGCTTACCAATTATTTGGGGACGCATAACATGGCAATACCATGTTTACAGACATGTACCATGATAACACAATGCTTTATTTAGATACCATGATTCTTAGATATGTACCATGGTAATATCATGTTTTTTTGGACAGGTACTATGGTAATGCAATGGTTTATTTAGAGACATGCTATGACATTTTTTGGACATTTTTGGTGTATATATACCATGTTGTTTGGACATGTACAACCATGGTAATACCATGATATTTGGGGATGTAGCAAGGTCAAACTTTGATTTTTGATATAGTAACAGTGTAGTTGCATGTTTTGGACACGCTGTGGTACTATCATGTTTCACAGGACAATAAATGTTCATGTACCATGGTAGTAACATGTTATTTCGGACACTAGACAGGAAGTAGATTTTAGATTTACTACTGCAACCAAAGCATATCTATTTATAACACTGCAGTAGCTGTGCACGCGCACATATCTCTCTCCCTTTATATATATATATATATATATATATATATATATGATCTCCGTTGGACAAGTTGATGAGATTAAAAGCTGATAATTGTCCAGTAGCTGGCTAGTGCTAACAGCCCATTTCTGCTCATGTATGGGGCTTTAAATTAACACGACAAATAAAATCACACACCCGACCGTGATCATCTGGAACAGAAATTATGTTTTAGAAAAAAAATGACATTTCTCATAAGTAAGTAACATGTTAGAGTGAAACCAATGAGCTAACATGAGCTAGCCACATAGCAAATAAACCAGCAGTTTACACAGCAATAATGTGTATAATAATGAAGTTATAATGAAACTTCTTTTCGAAACAGATGCAGATCACTAACCTGACGGATGATAGACGAGACGAAGCAGTGTGTGTGTGTATGTGTGTGTGTGTGTGTGTGTAGTGAAGTTGAGTTGTGTCACCCTTCTTGGTCGAAGGTCTGTTTGCTAGCGACTAGCCGCTCCACTCTCTCCTGAGGGCAACCGATAGCAAGTTTACACATCAAATCTCATTGGAAATAAAATTACACAGAGAGTTTATTAATATTACAAAAATACAAATTTTATTTTAATTTCGCTCCAAAATGTAAGTCATTTTCAGCGTTTAACCCCCTAGTTGAAAAGTGTTGTTGGCTGGTTTATGGGAAACCTGGTAAACGTTGTAGTTAAAGCGAACCCAAGTAACCAATCAGAAGCTCCGCCGAGCGTTGGTGACGTAGCCGGAACTCCGCTTCGAGTGGATGCACTGATGAAGGGAAAATATCTTTGCCCGGCGCCACGTCTAAATGGTCTGAGCTCAGCGAGTTTTTTTCTTTTTTGTATATATAAATCACAACAACTAGATAATGAAGGGCAGATCAATGTATTTTAAGCAATTCAATTTTAATCAGCGAATACAACTTTTAAAATATATGTATTTTTATATTTAGTGATGTCTAAAGGATTATTCACATCTAACGTGTGTTTGTTTGTGTGCAGAAATTTGAGCTCTAATTTTTCCAATAAAGTGTTATACTTATTTTATATTTTATTTTACATACTTTATATATTTTTACTTTTTTTTTAATATTACATATTTTATAATTTTCATAAAATCACTTATAAAAAGGAAAACATTTTATTTTATTATAGTGTATAATTATATGAGTACTCTATTTTTTTCTTTAGCTTTTAACTAATTGTGAGTTTCTGTCATGAATGTGTGGTTTGTCTCATTTGTTTTTCTCATCATGTGTATTGTTCAGCACTTTGGTCAGCCTTGTTGCTGTGTTTAAATGTGCTATGTAAATAAACACAAACTTGAAACTTGAACTTAATTATTGTATATTATGTTATATTATATTAAATATTATTATATTATATTCCAATTCATTTTAGTTTTTCGACCGGAAATTAATTTTTAGAACAAGTCAACGTGAAGCCCCGGTTAAGATAACCAAGTGTGTGTAATATTGTATTTTCTATTTCTATTTTTTTTTTTCATTTAATTCATTTAATCCATACACATTAATGTAGCCTATATCTTCTGATCTACAGCATTATCTTAAGTCAGACTAATCAAAGTTTGTGTAGAGCAATTAAACCTGCTGTCAATAGAGGCAATTACAAGTATGACCAAATATATATTTTGTGAACCCCAGAGACACAAACTCATTTAACTGGTATGGATTTTGGATGTGTGGATGGCAATGCAGCAGTTTATAAAACAAACAAGAACACAGTCAGCAAACACTATTACATTCAGTTTATTTCAGAGGAGTTCACTACTGAGCTGGATCAGCTCATCAGCATTTCTTTACTTTATTTAGACAGAAGTGTTATAATTTTAGAAGTACTTCTATACTCTTTGATTTTACTATGGTTTTTACACTGTTGTTTGTAGCGTAAACATGCACGAGTTCTCATGCTGATCAGCAGGTGGCGCTATTCCCCCTCCTGTGAATTAAAGATCAAAGCTGTTCATGTTTAATTGAGTTTTATTCCTCTGGATATGTCATGAATAAACTTTGACTGGATTTTTGGATATATACAGCTATTGCTTGACGTATGACTTAATTAAATCAAACCAATTAAACCATGTATAAATAATTAAACCATGGATGCAATAATACCGTACGATCAATAAAAAAATCGTATTGAGTGTTTGCTGGCAGGCTGGGTTTTGGGTTTGTTGAAAATAAATAAATAAATAAATAAATAAATAAATAAATAAATAAATAAGGATTGATTCATAACACACACTTTGTAAATCTACATATTACACCATGGACGTAAAAAAACTGTTTTAAAAAATGTCTACAGGTGTTCGCTAATGAGGTGGTAACCATAGTAACTCGCGTGCACGAGCGCTTTGGACGGGTAATCCACAAAACAGGTAAGTTACTGTCAATATTTATCAGTTTATTGTAGATTTACACATCATAAGTAAAATATATTACCTGTATTTCGTTAATAACGTTTGTGTTTTTTTAAGGAGTCAACATGAACTCAAACGACCATTTTTGAGGGACACTAACGTTAGTCACAGACTTGTGAACAAATTGAGCGCCAAAAAATTACCTACAAAATTCCTTTAATAACATAGACTGACACCTCAGAAAACTGTATAAAGATGTTTTATTAAAAAAAATATGTCAATGGTTCCCTTTATGAAATGAATTTGAGAGGCACTTATTATCAACACAGAAAATGGCTTCCCGCTCTGCTACATAACATTAGCCTACAAGCAAGACATTGAGAATAAATCATGTAAACAAGGCTTTTATCATCTTGTGAAGCATAGCCTACTTGTAACATGTTGCACTTTAAAACTGATATTTAAGTTATTAGTCGATGGCCCATGACCACATGTTAGTAAAAATCGGTGTTTGTTGATGGTGGTGACTGGTGAGTAACTTATATGAAACCATTTTAATCTCCAGTTGCATTTTTATGAGTTCTAACCATGCAAAATTGTGAGAAAATTAACGTGAACAAACAAAAGTTTAAGCCTTGCCAATGTAAATATTTAAGCTCAAGAAGACAAGAAAGGGAACTCAATTTGTAAAAAGTTTTTTTGTGCGCAAAACAGACAACTTTCATATCTTCTAGCTTGAACAGAGATATTCTAACAAAATTATGGCCAAAAAGCCAGTCTTGGTATAATAGTCATAGTCAGTTATGTTTTAAAGTGCTAGTTCACCCCAAAAGAAAAAAAAAATTATCCCATCATTTATTCACCCTGAAGCCATCTTAGGTGAATGTGACTTTCTTCTTTCAGCCAAACAAGTTGTATTAAAAAATAGCCTGGCTTTATAAGCTTTATAATGGGAGTGATTTGATTGGGGCTGAATAATTTGAAACCCTAAAAAATGTATCCATCCATCCATCATAAAAGTAATCCATAGGGGGTTAATAAAGACATTCTGAAGTGAAGCCATGCGTTTGTGTAAGAAAAATATCCATATTTATTTATATTACTTTATTATAATCTCATCTAATTCTATACTTTTCTATTGTCATCTATTGACTACTTTCTATTTTTACTATAACACAATTTTACCCATGAAACTTTTGTAGAAACTGCAGACACAAGTTTGAGAGCTTAGAAGATGTTGTATTTTGCTGCATAAGTGTTTTTTTCTCTCTCGCAGTCGCCTCTTTGATCTTTGTGATATGCTTTCCTGAAATATTTCTCTCTAATAGTTTCGTTTCAACACGTTTTTCTCTTAGGGTGGGAGATGTCGTAGGATGCCTTTGATACGGGTCTGATGGGGAAACGAGTGAAGATTTTTCTCACAATTTAACGGCTGATTAAAGGTATTTCAAAGAGGCTGGACGAGGCCTGGTGAAAACGATTATGAGCAAATCTGCAGGAGGAAATGGACGGCTTAAAGCAACACGCCGACTTTTTGGTACTTTAGCTTATTCACCGTATGTCCCCCCAGAGTTAGATAAGTCCATACATACATTTTTCATATTCGTGCGTGCTGTAACTATATCTGACGCACCCACCACTAGCCTAGCTTAGCACAAACACTGGAAGTAAATGGCTCCAGCTAGCATACTAATCCCAATAAGTGAGCAGTGCATCGCCTTCTGAGAATATATAGTTCCCAATATTTATATGGTTAAAAGATATCTGTGTATCATATGACCTTGTTATTTGTACACTCTGTGACTATACAAACCACAACATGTAAATAGAAAAATGTTTGCGTTATTTTGTCACTTATTGGGATTAGTATGCTAGCTGTATCCATTTACATCCAGTCTTTGTGCTAAGCTAGGCTAGCACGGGGTGTGTCAGACAGCACGCACTGAGATGAAAAAGGTATGTATGGACTTATCTAACTCTGGGGAATACGGTGATTAAGCTAAAGTCCAAAAAATTCAGTGTGTTCCTCTAACCGATTTCATACAGGAGTCACGTTAGAACAGAATCGAAGATAAAAACTCACTTTTTCTCACACACACACATACGATGCCATCTCAGCATGGAGGTTTTAATAATTCATCATCGGCCTCTAGTGTTTGCCCCTGATTACGAACACTAGACCTACTAAAAACGGCCATTAATCTGGCTATAATGATCACAGATATGCTGTAATTTGCTGTTCGGTGGTGTCAAAGCAACAGGCAATACAAAATAAGTGGCTCATTAAAGTGTTATTTCACTTTAAGTTCTTTAATTTCTTGCTCAAAGTTTCTGTTTTTCCATACAAACCATATAGCAACAACTGTCAAGCTACAAAAAAGCACCATACAATCAATAAATAATACTATATATATATATATGAAGAGTTCAGATGCAAAAGCCTCTAAATTCCATTTGAAAATTTCTTCTTTTATAATGATTTTTATCAAGCTTGTATATTTAAGTTCAGTAATTTCACTTAAATAACAATTAATAGGTAATTATCATTGCCATTTAAGTGAAATCACTGAACTTAAATATACAAGCTTGATAAAAATGATCATTCTAGAAGAAAATTTCAAATGGCACTTAGAGGCTTTTGCATCTGAACTCTTCATATATTTATATATAATTTTGTATATTATTTATCACTTGCAGCCATTTAAGTAAGAATATAATGTTGTCAGAATAAGTTTGTCATGTTGAAAAGCAGAGCTACGAAAAAGCATCATATAATAAATAAATGATTAATATATATATATATATGTGTGTGTGTGTGTGTGTGTGTATTATTAATCACTTTTGAATCCATTTAAATAAGAAGAATATAATTTTGGTGTCCCACAGAAAAAAAAACCTTATGAGAACATCATAAGGATGAATTTTAATTTTGAGGTAACTGGTTAAATCTTTGCTTGTAAGAGTGTGTGTTAATATACCGTAGCTCTGAATTATCTAAACTGTTCTTTTTGTCTAGTGAAAGAAAGTCTCTCTGGAATCATTAGTGACTGCGGCTCCGGCGGCCTCTGCCTGTCTCCTCGCTGATCTGTGTGTTAATTATACATCTCAGCGTGACGAGGACCCGGGCTGGGTGCAGCTGTAATGAAGGCAAGGATAGCAGCACCTTTATATGGATGGTGTGAGAGATATAGTGATGAGACTATGTGGCATGTGTTACACATTAACATCTAACGTGTGACAAATAGCAAGTCATGAAGGTGGGAAGAAAGTGTGAAACATGCCAGCA